CCGAGCCCTCCGGGTCACGTCTGTTAGCGCCAAAGCGGGCGGAGGCGGGGCCTGGGCCTGGGCCTGGGCCGGGTGGGAGGTGTGGGATTGAAGCGTGAAGGCAGGGGCGGGGCGAGGTTGGACCCTGGGGCGTTGATAGCAAAGTCAGGCCCAGCAGGCTGGACCCCGAGCTACGGCCGTCCCCGACTCTCCCAATCCCTTTGCCCTCCAAATCTTGAGCTTTGAAAAAAATCTCCTGATGGACTTTGCAGGATGGCGTTCTCCGACCATTACTCCTCTGATGTCATTTTGTCCACCCCTAAGGCTCAACTGACGCCCCCGCCCCTCAACGTCAAGGTGATTTGGGAGTCAGTTCTAGTTGTTTTCCCAGCTCCACCTCTGCCTGACTGTGGACCTGTCGCTTCACCTCTGAGAGGCTGAAGACTTCATCTATAAAATGGGAAGAATGTCACATACTTTGTAGGGTTATTTTGGACAAAAAAATAACCAATGTTAATCCACATGGTTCTTAGTAATACCAAGTAGTACATGGGAGGCCCACAATCAAAGAGAATTTGTGTAAATGTGCTTGAGGCTGTTACTGATAAAAAACAAACAAACAAACAAAAAAACACCATGAGGGGGCATCAGATAATACAGCCCTAAGACCTGACACTAAGGCAATCCTACATGGAAGGCTCATTGTTCAAGTCTTCAAGCTGGAGACCTCCCTGGGTTCAGAAACCTCTGATCCAGGACTAGGTGAGGCTGAGGTTGGAGTGTTGCCTCAAGACTGTTAGGGGTGTGCTCTTTCTCCCTTTCCATCTCTCTTGCTCCTGCAAGAAATAAATAAACTTAAAGGATGGTGACTCCTAGTGGTTAAAGGAGTCAGATCCCACATGACCAACTGCACAGTTCCATTCTTGGCCACAGGGGCTTGAAAAACATGCCAGAGGGAACCAGCAGTTAGCGTAATGGCTATGTCGCTGGACTCCCACGTAGTCGACCGTGGTTCGTGTACCAGACCCGGTGGCTTAAAACTCACGCCGGGCGCATGTGCGTGCGTGCCCAAGATCCCGAGAGGAGAATGGAGGAGAAGGGATTGCGGCGTGACCATCCCCCCTGGGGGGGGGGGATTTCTCGCTTTCTGTCTCTATGTCTCTCTCTGTCTGTCTGGCGAGCGCACGCGCCCTATAGTGAAAAAAACAAACAAACAAAAAAACCTCTCAACAACAACAACAAAAAAAAAAACATGCCAGAAGTGTGTGCATGCATGCTTAATATGCCAAAAGGAGAGAGACACCGTGGAGAAGGGATTGTGATGTGACCATGCTCCACTGAGGCATGCTTTCTCCCTCTTCCTCTCCCTCCATCTCTCTCTGGTGAGTACACATGCCCTCTGACAACATTAAAAGAAAAAAAATTTTTTAGAGAGATTTTTGCTATAGGGCATGTGCGATCGCCAGAAAGACAGAGACAGAGAGACAGAAAGTGAGAAATCATCCCCCCGGGGAATGGCCACACCGCAATCCCTTCTCCTCCATTCTCCTCTCAGGATCTTGGGCATGCATGCACATGTGCTTGGCATGAGTTTAAGCCACCAGGTCCAGGACTCGAACTGCAGTTGGCTATGTGGGAGTCCAGCGACATAGCCATTACGCCAACTGTTGGTCCCGAAAGAAAGAAAAAAACATTTTTAAAGATTATTTATTGGGAACCAGCAGTTAGCGTAATGGCTACGTTGCTGGACTCCCACGTAGTCAACCGCGGTTCACGTCTTGGACCTGGTGGCTTAAAACTCACACCGGGTGCGTGTGCGTGTGTGCCCAAGATCCCAAGAGGAGAATGGAGGAGAAGGGATTGCGGCGTGACCATCCCCCTGGGGGGTGATTTCTCACTTTCTGTCTCTGTCTCTCTCTGTCTGTCTGGCGAGCGCACGCGCCCTATAGCAAAAACCTCTCAAAAAAAAAAAAAGATTATTTATTTATTTATTTATTTTTTATTTGACGAGAGAGAGAGAAAGGGAAAGTGAGAAAGCAAGCCACCCAGTCCAGGACTTGAACCATGGTTGGCCATGTGGGAATCCAACGCCCTTATCCACCACACCACCTGCTGGCTCCCAGAAAGAAATATTTTACATATTAATGCATGTGTTAAAAGCCTTAAAAAGGTGTAGACCTATACATGTATTGAAATATCACATTGGGGACCAGCAGTTAACGTAATGGCTATGTCGCTGGACTCCCACATAGTCGACCAAGGTTCGCGGCCCAGACCCCGATGGCTTAAAACTCACGCTGGACACGTGTGTGTGCATGCCCAAGATCCTGAGAGGCGAATGGAGGAGAAGGGATTGCGGCGTGACCATCCCCCTGGGGGGTGATTTCTCGCTTTCTGTCTCTCTCTGTCTGGCGAGTGCATGCACCCTATAGCGAAAACCTCTCAAAAAAAAAAAAAAATCACATTGTATCCCACAGAATATGCAGTTAATAAGTGTCAATTACATGGGACCAGCAGACAGCGTAGTGGTTACATCACTGGACTCCTATATGGCCAACTGTGGTTCTGTCCCAGATCTAGCGGCTTCAAAATCACATCGGGCCCATGTGCGTGCCTGCCCAAGATCCTAGGAGGAGAATGGAGAAGGGATTGCGGCATGGCCATCCCCTCTGGGGAGTGACTTATCACTTTCCCTCTTACTGTGTCTGTTTCTCTCTATTTTATTCTCCAGCAATCACACGTGCCCTAAGGCAAAAAAACTTTATGAAAGGTATCAATTACAAATAAAATAAAACTTAAAAAAAAAAAAGGCAAATCCTTTGAGCCAGTAATTCAACTTTTAAAAAATAAAAAAAGAAAAGGACCTCCCCATGGCTTACTGGTTAAGGGAGCTGGCTCTGACATGGCTGACAGCAGTTCAAATTTCGGCCCCTGTGGCTTGAGAAACAGGCTGGGCGTGTGTGCATGGATACCCTAAAATCTCAACAGGATGGAGAGATGGAGGAGAAGGGATTACTGCGTGATCATGTCCCATGGGGGAGGGTGCTTTCTCTCTCTCTTCTTTCTGTCTTTCTCTGGGAAGTGCACAGGTCCTCTAACAATTTTAAAAAGAAAAAAAGGGGAAAAAATAGGGGATTGGTTGAATTATTTATGATCCAACTGCAAAATGAAATGTCATGAAGCTATGAAAATCTGCACTGTAGGATATTTAACATGCAAAAAGCATGACTTTGTTTTTGTTTTTTAGAGATTTTTGCCTTACAATGCACGAGAGAGAGAGAGAGAGAGAGAGAGAGATTTCATAGAAAGAAAGATGGAGACTATGAGAGGGAAAGCGAGAAATTGCCCTTTGGGGGGAATGGTTATGCTGCAATCCCTTCTCCATTCTCTTCCTGGAATCTTAGGCACGCATGCACATGCACCAGCCATGATTTTGAAGCCACCAGGTCCTGAACTGGAACCGTGGTCAGTTATGTGGGTATCCAGCGACATAACCACTATGCCTTCTGCTGGCCCCCAGTGAAGCAGGAGCACCTCCCTTCTGAACTCCTCTCTATATTGGAAACTTGCTTTCTCCTTTTGCCTAAACAGTGATTAACATTCCTATTGTCTTTGCTAAATAACCTGAAACTCCCTACATTAAGATGTTTCTTCCCTTGGGACCAGAAGATGGCGTAATGGCTGTGTCGCTGTGGTTAATGGCTGATCGACAGTGGTTCGAGTCCCAGACTTCGTGGCTTAAACTCACGCTGGACACGTGTGTGTGCGTGTCTAAGATACCAAGAGGTGAATGGAGGAGAAAGGATTGTAGCGTAATTATCCTCCCTGGGGGGTGATTTCCCGCTCTCTGTCTCTCTCTTTCTGGCGAGTGCATGCACCCTATAGCAAAAACCTCTCCAAAAATAAGTAAGTAAAGAAAGAAAGAAAGAAAGAAGAAAGAAAGAAAGAAAGAAAGAAAGAAAGAAAGAAAGAAAGAAAGAAAGAAAGAAAGATGTTTCTTCCTGATGTAATAATCAAGCTAGACCCCTTGTCCTGAACCATGAAGACCATGAAGATTCCACTTTGGGGCAGGGGGCATGGTGGTTAAAGGTGCTGGATTCCCACATGGCCAACCTCAGTTCAAGTCCCTGATCTGGTGGCTTGCTTTCTCACTTTCCCTTTCTCTCTTTCTCTCTCTGTTTCTGTCTGTCAAATTAAAAAAATAATAACAACAAATGGAATTAAATAGATGATTCTTTAAAAAAAAAATCCATTGTGTTTGTGTACTGACTAGAAAGTCCCCAACCCTAAAGATGCCCCAGATAACTGCTTATTCCATGATGATGTCCCCTGAAGCCCAGGGAGAGGGAATGACTTGCCCAGACTCAGGAGGACTGGGTGGGGGTGCCCGCCTCCCCGTGGCCACTGGTGTGTTCCTTTAAGAGGAAGGCTCACCCCTGGCAACTAGTGCTAAGATGGGGCCCTACTGAGGCCCTGGGGATAGGAACAGCAGGGCTGGGGGAGGGGAGCACTGGCCAGAAGGTGACTTGGAGGGGACTGGAGGAAGCGGGACTGAGGTGAAGGGCCTGAGCCTTCAGCCTGAAAGGATTCTGCTCAGGGAGGAAGCCCCAGCGCTCCTCTGGGCCAGACACAGCGGTGGCTTGGAGGTGAGTGATGTCCACATTTGCTGTGGGTGGTGCAGCCCTTCACTTTCCCCACCACCCCTCTGAGGGGAGTCTCCTGATAGCAATTTCCAGAAGCAGGTACTGAGAAAGGAAAGCTGTCCAGGGCAGTCTGCAGAAGGCAGGCCTTTGGAATCTAGCCAGCAAGACTGTGGTTGCACCCCA